GGGAACATTCTTAGAGAAAAAAAATTCAGTGGCTCCTTTTTTGTGCAGTACTTTTGTAAGTGATCCTCAGGGACAAATGTTTCAATCTAGTTTTCCTAGGACAAGGTAAGCTCACAATCAGAATTTTTTTTTAACTCAGAATATCTTTTATTACAACTTTATTGTTTCCGTTTTATTTACTTCTATATGAATTCTTAATGCTTGTAGAGGGAAGGAATTAAAAATTTGGAGTGGAAATAAATAGAAGGAAAAAAAAAACCCCAACAACTTAAAAGATGAATGAAGCCAAAATCTGGTTTTTGGATGAACTTCTAGTTAGACTAAAGAAAGCACTAGGGAAAGCACTCTAACAAGTTGACTGAGAAGTAAAAGAGAAATTTCAAGAGACATCAGAAAAGACTGCTATGAAGACTGCTCTTCATGCCAACAAACTGGGAGATCTCTCATCATTTTCATGTTTGTTCTTTCCTCTCCATCCCACACCGTATGACCTAACCAATTTGTCAGAAAGATCTTATTTTCTGTTGGGAGAGCCATTCCTTCCACTGCATATAACTTGATGCTATAACTAGATTTTTTTTACCTCTTTGTGTTTTTCTCATCTTAGCCATCTTCTTTCCCTTTTAGCCTACACCTGGTCCACCTTGTTTGGCTTTCTCTGTTCTTATTATTCTCTCTTCACTTTCTTAAGAGACCATTTCCTTTTGTCTCCTATTAAAATCAAGCAGATAAGTTTCTGAAGCTTTTCTTGTTTTCTGTAGTAAGATGTTATCTAAGATCAGTTTTTATTCTGTCTTCAGGGTAAAATACATTTTATTTTTAAACTCTTTACAACGGGTCCCCACTGATGCTTCTGTCTACCAGTTTTCCTACTTGTTGAGCTTTAATTAACAGGGATTCATTCCACCCTAGTGTTGTCAACACACAGGATGGGCAGATTGCTCTCCAACAGCACTCTTTTTATTTCACACAAAAATACTCAGCTCTGAGGCTCAATGGTGCACTGACATGCCCCTGAATAGACATACCACAGTTAATTTTTCACTCCAGTGTAAGTGAACAGTTGGGTTTTCACTTAGGGAGTTCTTATGAGTAGTATTACTTGTAACATTCTTCCAATGTCTGTTCATGCACATTCTCGTGCATTTTGATTGCGTATACATCTAGAAGATGAAATGCTGGGTCATAGGTTATGCATATTTTCAGCCTTAATAGATAATGCAATTTACTATGAATAGGAAACAAAAACTACGTACAAAACAATTGGTAATATTTCTTTTTGTTTGATTCAACAAGCTGTAACATATCCTCATAGTTAATAAAATATTGAAATGAGACATGAGAAGACTTGTAGTAGAGCATCTAGGAAATATGACAAAGAATAAAACTCTTTTGATTATTATTGCTGAAAAATATTTCAAATCATTGGGATTTTACAGAAAATAAACCTCTTTGCTTATGAATTACACACTGACAAGCTCAAGAGAGCTGCACAGACTACTGGAATTCTTTATGATGATTTATACAGCTTCCTTAAAAAAGCTCACAATCTGTAAAAAAAACAACACAAATGTTTGTAATTATGTCATCTTTTTAGAAATAATAATCATTAGAGCAATTCATTAAAAAATTACTGTGGTACAATTACAGAGCCTGCCTTTGACATCAGATAGCTCCACCCAGTATACCATGCATATACACAGACACACACACACACACACACACACACACACACATATATATATTTGTATTCACACGCATTTTTAACTTTTATTATCAACATGACACATACAGGGAGGTACAGAAAACTGATGTGCAGTTTAATTAATGTAAAGTATCCATCTGTGCAAATACTACCCAGGTCAAGAAACCCCAGAAATTCAGTTACCCCTCCCTAAACCCTCTCCCTATCACCAAAATTAATCACTGTTCTGATTTTTGTTGGTTTTTCTAGTAATCACAGTCTTTGCTTTTCTAAGCATGTATTCCTAAACTCCAGAGTTCAGTGCTGATTCTAAACTGCACGTAAATAGACATGTACTATAGCTAGTCCTTGGATTCGGCTTCTTTTGGTCCCTAATGTACATTAAGATTAAATCATGCTGTTTTGTATTTAGTTTTACTTTATTCATTTCAAATGCTGTAAAGTTTCCTGAACTTTTTCTGAGAAAGGCCTGATAATAAATATTTTAGGTTTTGTAGGCCAAAAGACAAATTCAAGGATATTATAAACTCATATAATGAGAAAAGACAAAATTTCACATAAGTTTTATTAATCAAATTCAAAAGGTGCTACTAAGATGAACTAAATAAAATAAAAGTAAAGTTTTAGACTATAAAACCAATTAATGATTACCTGAAGTCAAGGGGAACGAGAGGTGGGTAAAGCACATAGAGGGGGTCAATTATGTGGTGAAGAGTAAAAGTGGTAAATAGTATATATACGCACATGTTGATTCTTAATGAGGCCCACCAGAACTTATACGGTATAATGCAATATTATTTCAATTAAAGGAAACAGTACTGATAATTAAAGTTTTTTGTAACACAGGCCTACTAATGAGAAAAATGAAATTCTTATTTTAGGGATAACATTTTATTTAATTGGGGTTCAAATCATCAAAATCAACTGCAATTGTTCATGTTGTTAATTGTTCATATGAGGAGAATTCCCCCCATTTCAGCTTTGAAAATGTCTTTTACACAGATTGGTGCAACCAATATTGATATTGGTGTATTTTTCAAATTCTGGAAATTTATTGCTTAGAAGCCATTTATAGAATTTCTTTAGTTTCTTCTCTTGACATTTGCCTTTTGGGAAGTTATTACAAAGCAGATTAATCACTTCCGATTGAAGGTTAAGTAGACATGGTTTCATTGCATAATCAGATTTTGAAATATGGAAATTTCCTTTCAACTTATTTCAAGATTCAAGAACCACTCCTGAAAAAATAGTTAAGATCAGAAATTAAATTTGTCGCAGATGTGTGGGAATGGAGAGCTTGCTTCTTCTTTGAACTTTTGACAGTACAGGAAGTATGTAAAGCAATTTTACAGTACTTGTAATTCACACAATGATAATTGTCATTGAACTGAACTGAAGTTACAATAATATACATGATACATATAAGTTCTGCTGTGCCTTGTAATTTTAGGCTGGATTCATTAAAAAAACATTACCAGTTCTGTACAAAAGCTAATTTCCATCATCATTCAGTGTTTTAAAATCAGTGGTTAAGAGTAGTTTTCTTATTAAAAAAAATCTTTGAATGGTAGGGCTTATTTTTTCTTTCAGCAATGGACAATCTGTTCACATTGTGATTGTCAGAGTACAGGTGAATGAGGCAGCTTTTCCTCTCTTCCTCTCCTTTCCTCCAGAGGGAAATCAAACTCACCTCAGCTGCTTTCCTCACTTTGTGTTCCTTTCTCAGTTTCTTGAGTGCCTTCCTCATTTTGCTGCTGTTCAGCATCCTCTCTGATCATGGCTTCTGTGTGCCCATGGATGATCTGATGGGCTGCAAGAATATGCTTCCGCTGTGCGTTCCTCACTGTACCAAAGTGACAGAAGAATGTTTATTCTCAAAAACTGAGCAAAATCATTCCCAGAGATTTTCAAGGAGTGATGACAGAAATCATTTTGAAAGCCGTATGTTCCCTGGTTGAAGGCTGACTGGGTTATAGAAGAATAACCTGCTCTCCATTTTAGAAAAACAACTTAGGCAACCAAACCCTTAAATGCTAGTTTTTCTAATCCATTAGCTTTTGAAAATTAGACATCTTAAAATAGTCTTATGCAATATTATCTCAATTAGGGTAAGAGACACACGGTTTTATTATTTGGTCAGAGAGACAGAAGGCCTTAGTGTCCTTCCATGCCCACTTGACTTTCTTGACTTACTGCTGTTTCTCTGTTCCACTCTCTGGCTCAGTCCAAACCTATTCTTCCCTACCAGACCAGACTCCATGCCACTTCTCAGCAGTTCCTCATCTGGAATGCCTGCACCCCAAATCCTACCCTTTTTGCAAAGCCTGCATCAAGTCTCAGCTCCTCTAGGAAGTGTCCTCTGACATGTCGCCATGTCTACCGTTTGCTTCACGTGAGTTTCTACCAATCCATTCACCCTCCAAGGGCTGCGTCTAAGTTACATTCTGTTTTCTATCTAAATGGTAAATGATTTTAAAAGCACAGGCATTGACTCTTTGAGGCTTAGTTCCTAATATGGAGGGTACTTGATTGATAATGATTTTCTAAGTTCATGGCTTTAAGAGAATGGCCCTAGCTCCATATTTTTAAAATGTTATCCACATTTAATACATTAAGTTCCACTTCCCCTGAAAGGGGGTAATCAGGACAATGATATTAACAGTTAGAAATTGTCCTGCTTTAAGCAGTGGGCATATAATTATTCATATAATCCACCCACACCCCTAAAATACAGCATTACTAATATTCCCAATTTCAGATATGGGATCTGAGATTGAGATAGATTACATAATTTGCCCAAAGTCATAAAGCCAGTAAAGAGTGATAGAATGTTCTACAAATTCTGTGTTATTCAGGTATTAGCTAGTCTACATAGAGGAAATCACACAGCAACTAATAGCACTTCACGGTCGTGTGGTTGAAAAATGGGGACTTGAAGCTCTACAGATAATGGTTCAAACCTGAAAGTCATATACAGTCTGTAAGCACTAATTTCCTTAATAGAAAAATGAGAGCACATGTCTATAACTTAAGATACTGTACTTGTTCCAAATACTAAGGTTGTTGTCTTTAAGTGTTGGCAGTTACTTTTAGTTTACAACTCCACAGGTCTCTTAAATGCTTGTTTTTCCAAGCTATTAGCTTCTAAAACTTAGAGATCTTAAAATAGTCCTATAGAATATTATCTTAATTTGGGGTAATATAATATGTATGGTTTTATTATTTGGTAAGAGAAGCAGAGGTCTTAGTGTCCTTCCCTGCCCACTTGACTTTCTTGATTTTGCAGAAATACAAAGAAAAAGGCTAAGGGCTTGTCCAGACAAATCTTACAGCATTTTTCAGATCAAGTGCCCCTTAGGCTCCTTCCCCGCCCTCCTAGGAGAGACTGGAGAAAGCAGCCCCAAACCAGTAATTATTAAACTAGTTCTTCCTCTCGTTCAGTTCCCTCAAGAGTAATTGATCTGAGGCAGGCTGATATGACTTCTGACCTGGGAAAAGTGAAAAAAGTTGCATATTTTCTCAAGGATCTGGTAAACATAAGATTGATTTAATAATATAAGGTGACACAGAAATATGATATGATCTAAAATTTTAATTTTGTTATATAGGCACTGACATACATTGTTGATGGGGGCATGAATTGGAATAATCTTTTTTATAGGGGTTACTTGGTATTCTGTCAAAGCCTGCAGTCTCCTGCCCTGTTTCTAGCATTGCTCTGCTAGGCTTTACTTTCAGAAGCCTGACCAGAGTATGAGCAAAATACACAGTGCAGTAGTATTGCTCGTTATATGAAAATACAGCAAACTAAATGCTTGTAACTGGAAGGTACTAGTTTAAAAATTACAGTACAATCAGTTAGTGGGAAAATAGGACTTTTTTTTCCCCTTTGGTGTCACCATTCATTTCCTGGTTTGAGTGATCTGATGATATATGACACATTCCTCTTGTAAACCTGTCCACAACTTCCCTGCATAACTCTAAAACCTTCTGAGTTGTTATTTCACTTCAATTTTGATCTTCTCTTGGTTGCTTCTTTCCCTCTGGGATTAAGTCTGTCACCAATAGTCTCAAAGTTCCAGAAGAATATCCTTTCTGCTGCTTCTTTTTTTTAAGATATACTTTTCTCTCTCCCTTCTCTATCGACTGGAAGCATCAATTTTCAAAAAACATATCACTTTTGACAAATGATGGATGAGGATATTTATACTGAGCTGCAGTCCTGGCAGCAACAGAAAATGTTCGTGGTGCTGGCTGCACAGCAGAGTAGATTGAGGCCCCCCCAGGCACCCAGCTCCTTGCACCCACCTAGCAGGTGCTTGGCATCCTCAAAAAGGATGCCAGTCTGAAATTCCTGCCTGTTCTCAACAGTTGCTTTCTGCTTTAAAAAAATCAAATCGGGCCCTCCCTGGTGGCGCAGCAGGTTAAAGCACAGCACTGAGAATCTAAAGCCGCTTCCACATGAGTTCAATTGCCGCCTGCCCCGCCTGCCCCGGAGGTGAACACATGGTGTGGCAGACCTCTCCTGACCCGCCCACTTCTCCCCTCAGCAGTGTACTTCGTTGATCTGCCTGTTCTGTTCCCCACTCTGTCTCTGGTGAAGCCTCTCACCGCCCCTGAGCCTCTGGCCTGTACCCCAGTTCTGTATGCACAAATAAATAAGTCTTTAAAAAAAAAAATCAAGTCACAAAATACATTTCTTCTGGAAACTTGGGAACTTCCTGTTAAAGAAGGTATGGACTTTGATACTCTGTCAAACTTGTTAGAACTGCACCCATTTTTTCTAGAGATGATTACATTCTGGAATCAGACAACATGAAGAGAACTTGACAAACTTGAAATATAAAAAAACAGTGATTCTTCTTCAGAAATTCCTAAACTTCAAACTGCTCAGTTATAAATCTCTGGGTGATTGACAATATTTGCATCTTAAAAAAATACCCTTAGAGGGATCATGCTTAGTGAAATAAGCCAGAAAGAAAAGGAGAAATGCTGGATGGTTTCACTCATAGCAGAAATATAAAGGACCAGGGGAGAAAATAATAATAATAATAATGAACAACTATATACCAGAGACATTTTACAGGGGTAGAGTGGGGAATGGGATCAAAAATGGGGGGAGGAGGGAGTGTGCTGGATTATGGTGATGGCACATGGGTGATTTGGTGATGGGAAGCCCACGGGGATTACAACTGAGATGGAAAAAGGCACAAAATGATGTAAAAAAAAAAACTTATTAAAAACAAAAAGGGCCCTCCCTGGTGGCGCAGCGGGTTAAAGCACAGCACTGAGAATCTGAAGCCACTTCCGTATGAGTTCGATTCCCGCCTGCCGCCTGCCCCGGAGGAGACCACATGGCGAGCCAGACCTCTCCTGACCCGCCCGCTGCTCCCCTCAGCAGTGTACTTCGTCGATCTGCCTGTTCTGCTCCCCACTCTGTCTCTGGTGAAGCCTCTCACCGCCCCTGAGCCTCTGGCCTGTACCCCAGTTCTGTATGAATAAATAAATAAATCTTTAAAAAAAAAAAACAAAAACAAAAACAAAAACTTATAGTGAAGCATTACCACTGGCTTACCTTTTTCTTTGACAAAGTCCTTCTGTACTTCTGGGATCAGGAAACTATAAACCAACTCAGCCACAATTTCCTCTGACTGAAGATGAGTGCGACTGAAAAATAAAACAGTGAATGAGGCGACTGCCTTTACTGCCTTGTTTCAGCTCCTCACCTATACTTAGACCCTCCTTGCTGTGTACTGAGCTCCACTGCTCGAATCCCACCATAGTTGTCTCCTTGGCTAGGTGACCTGAAATCCATATTCCTGGTGAGCTTGGTTAACTCCAGGGAAAATTTAGATTTGACCACATAATTCATTTACCCTGCCTGCCAGGGAAGGATGTTAGCGACAGAATTAAACATGGACGCCTAAAACCCCGGGTGAAGTGAAGTCCAAGGACTAGAGTGAGTACAGTCTACTCCGGCCATGTAGGATGCTGGTTCCAGAGTTAACACTGAAAACAAACAAACGCACAAGAAACACTGACATGAGTTATTTATCTTTCTCCTTGATGGTCAGATCTCACATTCTTGAAAATGTTACGCATGACAGCAGATGGCCTGTCCATTCCGTTCCCTTGGTGCATACCGGTTTTCCATTTCATAAGCAATGTCATTGATTTCCTGAGCTATCTTCTCAATTTCTGCCCTGGCTTGTTCTTCTGCAGTATTCTCTTCAGTATTCAGTATTATATCTTCCAAATACGATGTAATAGTACTTTGGTGTACTTTGACCACCTACAAAACCCCACAAAGACCCCAGTTACTGAAAATAGCAATGCTGTAGTAAACAAGACCCCAAAGTGTACACACACTAATAAAGCTTTTTTTTTTTTTAACTGAGTCATTGCTGTCCTCGTGGATCATTTCTTTCATTCTAGCCATTTATCCAGCCTGTTTCTGATTCACCTACCTATTCTGAGCAGCCCCTCCCATCTAGCCCATTTCAGAATTGTGGCTCTTCCACCAGAAGGTGTGCAACCCTACACGCAGGAAGGTCCGGGCTTCAGAGCCAACGGCCCAGCCACTGGGACCCTGTCTTTGTTCTTGTCAGCAGTGGGTCCCATTTGCTTCCTTCCTTCAGCACACTTTCTAACTCTGTGCTTAGCTGCATGTTACATGGTAGCTAAGCTCCAGGAGAGAAGCAGACCAGTCGGGTTTTCCCTTCATAGTATCCTACAGGACCTTTGTATATTGCCTCGCCCATACATATTTATTGAACACAGTTGCAAATCAAAAAACGAGTGTCATTTCATAGCATGAGTTTTCCTTGGTTTGACTCCTTACAAACAGCACCAGCCAGCCAGCAGCCCTCACGTGCCTGCTTAAATATCTCATCCTCTTCCCGCAGACGCCTCTGCTCCACCTGCCGCCGACCGCTCTCTTCGGCTTCCCGCATCCTCCGCTGCCTTTCTGCCAGCATGGCAAAGGCATGGATCCGCCTCTCTTCCTGCAGTCTCACCAGCTCCTTGGATAGGAAGTCAAGCATGTCTGCCAGCACCCTTCCTTCCAGTCCCGCCAAGTGGTTTTCAACAAGTGACACCTTGGAAATAATCGAATCAATTAGTGAAACAAGTTCCATTAAGAAAAGTGATTTTTATGAAGAGATGCTGGGTTACCCAGAGCTCTTGACAGTGACTTTGCCAATAGAACGCATTTAGTTTTTATTAGGAATATTATCTCTAGACTGGCCACATCCCAAGGATTCTTACTCGGAAAACTTATGATACAAATTTGGACATGAGAAATACATTGCTCAGTCAGCCACTGATGGATTCTAGTCCTCGAATTACAAAGAGTGTTTAGCAAAATCCTTTTAGTAAATGCACAAAATGTCTTTGCTCTCCCTTTCAGGCTTATCCTGAAAGTAAAATGTATCTGCCCAGACATGGAATATAAAGTCTTTTATTAAAAGATAGTATTGGATCTAATAGAATAGAAATTCACTTATTATGCTTGGTCCATTAGCACAAGTTTGGGAAATGTTAAGATCTTGAGTAGCATGAAAGTAGAAAAATATGGTACATTTTATTCTTTTCAATGACTTCAAAGTAATGAACTACCTTTGAAACAGAAAGGAAAAAGCCTATATGTCTATATGATCACTGAGGTCAAACAGGGACTTGGCATTCTCATCCAGAATAAGCCCCAGCAGATACTTATGGATAACTCTGTCCTGGAGCTGACACGGAGACTAAAACTGTGGAAGAAAATTGTATCCTCATTCTGTAAAAATCTTGCAGGCATATTAAGCTGGTTCTGCAACAATCACATAGTGTTATACATCACAGACACACCTTGTTTTATTGCATTTCATTGTATTGCACTTTGCAAATACTGCCTTTTTTTTCTTTTCCAAATTAAAGGTTTATGGCAATCCTGTGTTGAGCAAGTTTATAAGGACCATTTTTCCAAGTCTGTGCTCACTTCATGTCTGAGTCACATTTAATTTAAGTACATACACATTTTTTAGGCATCATGCTATTGCACAATTAATGAACTAGTATGTGCACAGCTTCTATATGCTGTGCAAAATAATTATTATCACCCCATTATTGTAGTATTTGATTTATTGCAAAGGTCTGGAATCAAGCCTGAAACATCTCTTGAGATTTGCACACACAAAAATGGAACTATACATTTTTGGGAATGTTTTCCAGAGAAAATATAAGAGAAAGAGAAAGGGAAAGAATTAGCATTGTTCTAAGTACATGTGAGGTGCCAGTTCCCTCAATCCCTAACATTATTAGTATACAGGTGCAACTGAATATAAGCAGGGTGAGTCTTTGGCTAAATGACAATTCTTCCTATTTATTTTTCCTTTAGCTTCTAGCTGACATATTAGGTAATTATCCACTCAATGGAACAGCTGAATTGAAAAGCCTGTATTGGCTAGCATCTGCTATAAGAAAACCTGACAAACCAAGGAAGACATCTGTCCATTGAGGTCCTGCAACCTGATGCTTCTAGGGCATTCTACTTTCTGTCAGAATGAAAAAGCTGTTCTGCCTCTGTCATTTCCAGGACTCTTGTAGCACCAGATTCAGAGACTACAGTGCCCATGCTTTCTTTTTTCTCAGGTACTTCTATTGAATCTCCATCTGTGACATTCTTTCTCTTCCCCCTTCACTTACCCTAACTTCCCAAAAGTCAGCAACAATCCCCAGTCCTGCCACCATGTAAAGGGAATAAAATTGTACTCATTTTCAAGTTGCTCACTTTTTATGCTCAGTCCACACAGCACCTGACCTAATGTGTGTTACTGAAGTTGGGTCATATTAACTTTACTGTAAATTTACTTCTTAAAAACACTAATCTCTGTGCAAACTAATTCTTTTTCACATTTTTTTGATACGTGAGAAAGGTAGTACAAGTGTATCTTCTCTGTAGTCAACAACGTCAGAAACTTGATTGTTTTCCAGACAAAGATTGAAAAGAAAAAGAAAAACACTCGCAGTTGTTGGGTCAGAGATGTAATAAACAACTGTCATCAGGAGACTAGAGCTGAGAGGCCACAGTGAAAGTCACAGAACATCGTGAGATACTAACATATTTAAAATGCAGCTGGACCAGCACGAGCTACAGACAGTTCCACAACATATAGTCACTGATACTTTAAAATAAATCTCTTTTCTCATTGCTTTTATTATTTATTCTATTAAGCTCCCACTAACTAACGTACTAAGTAGGTTCACCAAAAATTTAAGGAAAATAAAAAGGAAAAAACATTTCTAAAAGGTGGGGTTTTTTTTGGCAAATAAATATAAAAAGACCATACACAGTCCAGTGAGGGTACCCACCATTCAAATTATAGGCTGCTGTAGCATTGTTTAAAAGTGTTTTTTTGTAGAACTACCATATGATACAGTAATCCAATTTTTATATTTACCTGGAGAATATGAAAACAATAATTTGAAAAAATACATATGTCCCTATGCTCACTGTAGCACACTAGTCAACAAACAGTGATTGTTGCATAAAGAGAAGGGAACACTATTCAGTCATCAAAAAGATGAAATCTTGCCATTTGGAACAACATGGGTGGACAGTAAGGGGATTATCCTAAGTGAAATAAGACAGAAAGAAAACACTATATGATTCCTTTATGTGGAACATAAAGAAAAAACACAATTAAAAAAAAAAAAACCTTAGGCTCTGACAAAACAATGGTGGTTTCCACAGGTGAAGGAGAGGAGAAGAAAGAGGTGGAGGGGGGCAGCTGGTTAGTAGTGGCTAGTGTAACATGTAGTTGCTGAGGTGGGAAGCTGTACACCTGGAACCAATACAGTGTCATAAACTAATATTATTACCTCACTAAAAAAGAAAAGGAAATACATGTTGAATATGATAGTGCCACAGGGTTTTGGAGGACATTTCTTTTGTGTCATTTCGTTTAATGTCATAACGTTGTTTATACAGTAATGAAAGTGAGAAAATATAATGAGAAAGTAACAAAGCAAAGAACCTTGTGTTCGTGCAGGTTCCTCTGCCGCTGCAGAGCCAAAGTCACTTGCTTCTCAGCTTTCTTCACTAGCCTGTCATCTTCTTGCAGTGCGTGGCTGGTGCGCAACTCCTGGATCAGCTCCAGTCGCTTTTCTTTCCCTTCAAACATCTGTATCAAATTAAAGCAGAGAGATCTGCAAATCAGCCTCCCTTGCAGCAGGCACTAAGATTTGCCTAGAGTGAGCTGAGAACATTTGTCAAAAGTAGGTTCCAGCTGCCTTTTGGGACTGCAAAGCAGCTATATGCCACAGAGCTCAAATTCAGCCTCCTTTCCTACACCTTCAACTGCCATCAACTTAGTTATCAGCTAGTTCTTTACTCCATTTTTGTAAATGGCCTTCAAAAACAGGGGACAACTATGGATGGGATCATATTAAAAAACTAAAGCTCTCCCTTCATTTTTGTGCTCCTTCCCTAAGAAGAGAGGGGCAATACATTTTTTGGCCATATTTTCTTTTCCAATGGATGTGCCACTGGCCTGAATACACAGTCAGCTGTCTGACTTAACTATGGACTTCCTGGGAAAATACTGAAAGGGCAGTAAATAATGTGTGCACAGGATGTCTGCCCTTCTTTCCTGGATTTTCTCATCGTAAATGAGTCTCTTTAAGAGTCAGAGCTATCTGGGAAGAAAAAACTATCTTAGCTGGGGGTTTTATATCAGTCTGTTTCTTAAATTAAAAAGTGCTTGCTCTAGCACCATAATTAATGTGATCAGGGTTTAACAGAAAGACCGGAGTTGAATTTGAGGGTGGTTAACATAATCTCTCTCTGACTCAGATTACCTGTCTATAAAAAGGAGTTACTGATAGGAAAGAAAATAAAATATGTCAAGCAAAGAATATCTAGTGTGGGCATACAGTAGGCGTTCAAAACTATAGTTAATATTATTTAGCTTTCTCATTTTAAGTCAGGTGTTATTGGTGCTACACAAACTCAAAGAACTGTGTTATGACTGTGCCTAAAAGTAGGGTGTATACTTAGTTTGTGATGCTTTCATAGTCAAAGTTCAGGTCAGAACAATGCTGGATTTAGTAATCCCAAGGATGAGAAGGTAGTTTCACAATGCATTAGTTACAACTGGCAAATAGCAGCAGGTCCTTCCTCTTCTCTCCTTGGCATTGTGCCACCTCACAGGGCAAACTAAAAGGGAAGGAGTAGGTAATTTAAGGGTGTAGTTCCATGGGGCAGCAGAGTGCAGGAGGGAATTCACTCCAAGGAACCAAGGACAAATGCATTCTACAGCTCTAGTCTCAAAGAGAAACTAAGGGCCACTGGTTGGGTCCTACAAACCATGTTCTGAACAGCTCTGCCCCGGAGTAACTTCTGAAGGTAGATCACAGCCATTTCTATATCTTCTTCTTCCTGAAAGAACAAAGACAGAAGCAAGCTGCTTTAGAACAGCAGCAGAAAGCATCAAATAATTTTTGAAGACTTAGATCAACCAAAAGAGACTATGCCAGGGGCCTCCCTGATGCTGAAGGGGCTAAGTCTCGGCACTGTGAAGCCAAGGGCAGCCACTGAAGCACAAGTTCAACCCCCTGCACCTCTGGCTTGCACCTCAGGTCCTGTATGCATAAGTCAATAAATCTTTAAAAAAGAGAGAGACTATGCTAGATACCGGAAAAATTTACAGAGAAGTACAACATGGCGCTTGCCCTCATTGAACACCTAGTATTTTAGATGTTACTCAGGGTATCATTAATGTTTATTATTTTTCATCACAAATACCATTAACAACTCATATCAGAAGCAAAAAATTCACCCACTGTCATCAGTAACAACTATAAATTAAGTCATATTTCTATTTTCATTTTCAGCAAAATCTTTTCCAAAACAAGTATTGCTTATAACATCCGTTTTGCAAATGTTTTTCATGTATTCATGAGCAAAGAACACTGCTAGTCTGACAGAGTTTAGAGTGTCTCAGAAGCATGTAGCTAGGCTGGTGGAGTCAGAATATGATAAATAAGATTAGCCATCCACAAAAGTCACGTTACCTATGTAGAAAAGCAGAAAGAACAGTCTGCACATCAAATTAAGTTGCCTCTGAACGCAAATGAAAGCAAGTCATAGCATTGGTATTAATAGATGTAAAAGACAGGCATGAGCACAGAGTCTAGAAAAGGGAGTGTAGTCCTGTCAGTGAGGACATTCTAGAACATCCACAGAGGTTATCTATCAGAGGCATTAGTGAGATTCCCTTCTCTCTGACAAAGTCCCACAACAATTTGACTTATGTAAGAGCTGCCCAAAACTGGGAAATTATAGCTAACGCAACAAGAGGAATATCTTGACCAATAGGCTTATAACATCCCCTTTCAGTTGCTTTTGCAAATATGCTTTTCATCACAACAAATATGCTGTGGCACCTCCAGCCATTTCCTCTGTTTAGCCTCAGTCAGTTCTTTAAGTTTTAACTGACTGATGCATTGCCCAAACTGAGTCTGAGGTGGTACAGGTGAAGGTCTTGTGAACACTGAGCGAGCCCCGCCTCAGGGGCCAGCCTGACTTGGTGACACCTCTGGCATTTCATTCCTCACTGACTCTGGCTGTCAGAAGCCACCTCCCTAGGTGGGAAGATAGAGATGATAACTGGTCATCGGCTCATCTTATTTGATTGACATCTGTGAAGATCACCTTCTGATGCCTGTTTTTCTTGGGAAGGTTGTTTTTTCTTGTGTTTTAATTCTTGAAGAGAATTTGGGCTTAGATTTCATTTCATTTTGCTCGTGCGTGTGTGTGTGTGTGTGTGTGTTTAATGTTTGAGGTATACGAACAATGACAGCAAATATCGATCTTGAGAAATTAACACTATGGAATTAGGTTTGTTTTGAACCCAAACTATCTGAAGAACAAACTGAAAGCAACACTGAATTCAATGTTTCAAATAAAAAGTTTTATACTTACATTGGAACCCATTTCCAAAGTTGGAGTTGGAAGCCGAGGTTGAGGTATTGGTTTTTTTTGAAGAAAGCGCAGAGGTTTACTTGGTTCAAGAACCTTATTCTTCTTATCCAACAGTGCCTGAAGTAATACCAATTAACATCAGTTCTCACCTTTGTATTTTCTTCCACTGCACAACACAGATCTGAACATTAATCAGATATTCTCTATGGCTGTGCTCAGAGACTTTTGAGAAGTTGCTAGGATATTCCTGAGGATCAGTTAACCACTGAATAAACACAGCACATACTGTAGGTGTGTCTATTTTAGTCAAAATGGGAGATGTAGAATTTTGGGAGGTGATCAAAAGCTCCATCATGAGTTTATACAAGCAAGACTCCACCTCCTGTTCTTCCATATGAGCTAATTTGATGTTTTAAATGACTGACTGGGCAGTGGAAATTTTACTGTACAGTCAATGAGGGAAATATTTGGTATGTTTTGCTGTTATGGTGTAACTGAGGAACATTAAGTGCAATTGTCTCAAAGTGGAGAAAACTTCTCTTTGGTCTTCAACCTTACACACCAAGACGCTTTAAAATCTTTTTTTTTTTTTTATCACTAGAGATTCTGCCAAAATTATATGTAACACAGGTTTTGTTCAGTGGTTCTACTTTCAGAAATGAGGGGCCACCTTTAACTTAATAGTGTCTACATTCTGACTTATTTCAAAATCATACTTAGTTACTTTTTATCATACAATAATTTCTATATTATTTCTTCTATAAAGTAACATGGGTAAGTGATAAAACAACAAACTTTAAACAAATAAAAGTATGCAACCACATGAAAATCTGAAACCACATGAAAATACTATCTCTGAGTTTCTTCAAAATGAAATTGACAGAAAATATATGACAGCTTTACAATAATCACAGTATATATAAATAGATAGCAGCTGCAATATAACAGTAACTAATAATTCTAAGTTTGGGCATTGCTTGAATGAAATGCCCTGAACAATACCATTTAAAACCAGTCATTCATAATAGATTATGTTGGTAAGGATGTGGGTAAGCAGGTGTTCTCACATTGCAAAAATTAGTACATCATTAGTAAGGAAATTTAACAACATCCATCAAAATTACAAATGTATTTGTTGTGGGTGAGCAATTACATGTCTAGAAGAAAATTCTAGATCAAATTATATCCAAAGAAGGTTATTCACTGTATTGATACATTATTTTTAATACAAAAATTTTGGAACAATATGAAAAATCATCAAAGACTTTTGATTACTATATATTATGGTACATTTACACAATGAAAAATCATTGTAATAATTATCTGGTAATATGGAATGATCTCCAGGATTCATTAAGTAAAAAAGCAAAGGTAAAGAGTGTGTGTGTTATATACAAACATTGTTAAAATGGTTATATTTATCCCAAGCAAAATAGATTCAATGAAATCCCTATAGAGTTTTAATGGCTAGGAAACAGAATAGCCTGAAACTTATATGGAACCACAACAGACAGACACCAAGTAGCCAAAGCAAACCTAACAGCAACAACAACAAAAAATGGATGTATCACACTCTCAGGCTTCAAACTATCCTATAAAGCTATAGCAATAAGCAGTATGGTAATAGAATAAAAAATAGAAAACAGACCATTGCTCTTGAGACCAGTGGAATAGAACTGAGATCCCACAAATAAGTGTACACCTATATAGACAGTTAATCTATGATCAAGGAGGCAAGAATATACACTGGAGGAAGGACAGTCCCTTCAACAAGTACTGTGTTGGTAACTGGACAGCCACATACAAAAGAATGAAACTAGGCCACTCTCTCACACCATACATACAAGTTAACTCAAAATGGATCAAGGACTTGGGTGTACATAAATGAAAACACAGGCAAAATATTCCATGACATTAACTTAAGGGATGTCTTTGAGGAGTTAATTCTAATAGCAAGGGAAACAAAAACAAAAGTAACCAATGGTACTACATTAAACTAAAAAGCTTATGCACATTGTTGCAAATGACAGGATTTTCTCAGTTGTTTTATAAATGAATAGTAGTCCACTGTGTGTATATATACCACATCTTTACCATTCTGTTTATGGGCACTTAGGTTCCCACCCATGAAGATAGAATCATAATTCTAAAAAACATATTAGTAAATCAAATCTAATAACATTAAAATAAGAAAACACACCTTGCTAAGTTATATTCATCCCAGATATGTAAAAATGATTCATATTTGTAAAAAGTTATGTTTCCCACTACAATAATAATTTAAAAAGAAAAATATATAGTCACCTTAAGAGATGTGATATATGTGATCTGTGATACAAGATATGTGATATGTGATATATGTGATATAATTCAATACATGCATGATTAAATAAAGCATCAATAATTTAGGAATAGAAGGGAATTTTTAAACCTAATAAAGAATATCTACAAAAAGAACTTATAGAAAGCAAGAAAATGATGAACACTGACTTCAGGATGGGTAAAGGGAGAAAGAGGGGTGAGATGGGAAAGAACTACCTAGATATATACAAATTATTCTTAAGGGTCTTAGTTTTTATGTTGCATATGGGCGCCCACAGATTCTTATTCTATTACTAAAATCAACTGAACAAAATAAAAATACATGGGCCAGTGATGTGAATATGCCATAAGCTAATCAGCCTCAAAGTGTGGTTCCTGAAGCATGATAATCACTGGAAAATTGTAAAAATGGAAACACTCAAGTCATCGCCGGTCCACTGAATCAGGTCACAGTGGTGGGGTCCTGAAATATGTTTCACTAAGTCCTTTAGGTAATTCTGGATTACACTAAAGATCACACCACTGTCATAAACTACAGACTCTAATGTATCTAAATCTGACATCTGTATCCCAAATAACAAAGGCAGCCCCTGCTCTTGAGGCTGCATGGTAGTTCATGGGGCTGACCATAAATACATTCCTCACTTGGTTGAGCTTTGAACTAGTTAAGATGCCTTTTCTTTGTGTTACCCTGGTAAGAAATATAAAAAGGAGAAAGTGACAGCTACTACACAATTAAAGCTAACAGAAATTTCCAATCCTAGAATCTGCTTGAACCTCAATGTAGCATCAAATTTTATTATGTAGATCGAAAGTCAGAACCACTTTCAGAAGGTAACATGGCTTGTGCAAATGGGGAGAATATTCTCCAAGAAGTTCTCCTACTATTTGAAATGAAGGGGAAAAATAACACCAGTTCAGGCAGGCAACCTCCCAAAGAGAAAAAGTCTAGAGAGGAGAAAGAATGTAGGACTAGAGGTTGAGAACCAAGGGCCCTGATGCCCAAGAACAAGTGCAATCTTTGGAGTGTAGTATCCCCTGCAAAAGTCCCACTGGAAGCATCTCGTCTTCCAGCTAAAGATGGTACCTTGTGAACTTCTGCCAACTCATGGTCCAGCCTTGCTGCCCTCTTTAGGAAACCAGTTTTGGTGGTGGTGTCTTTAGGTTTTGGAGGTTTGATTCGGGGTTGTGTTACAAAATCTGGGAGATGTGACTCAAGTTCAACTAACCCTATGGAGAGGAAGTACATGCTTTTAGTATTTAATCTTAGCATTTTGAAAATATATTGTTAATTTTAGTAATTGTTAGCCACGTGGCTTCATTTGGAATTATTGATAAATTGTATCTTATGTAACTGAGTTGTCCCCAAACTGAAAAGCAAATTTCTATATAATTACCTCATCTTTTCAGTGACTTAGTATATGAGAAGTGCATCCAAAAATGAAAATACTGTCCTACAAAAAAGGAATAAGTTCCACAATAAAATTCAAAGAAAGCTGATGGTCGTGTGATACAAGATACCACCATTCTCCAGTAAGTATATACTCACTGCCCTGAAGAAGATCAGTCACGCTACAAATTCAACAGTGTGGCCTTCAACTCATGATCTTAGCTATGTGATGCTTCAACTTGTTAAATGAAATTTAAATAATTTAAATAAGCTTCTGTTGGCATTTATAACAGGTATTACCCTCTCCATAAGTTTATCCCTGGCCATCCACCCACTTCTCGCCCACTAGCTTGCTAGCATTTCTTCTGAAGAGCTGGCTTCACTATATATTTATTGTTTATTTCATAATCAAATATAAATATTTTTTCTATTTTGCTTTTGCATAATTTTGATTATCAGTATCATTAAACACTTCTAAATTTGTGTAGATTGTTGACTATTCTTCTTGATTAAATTGCTGAATCATGTGCATATTTATTTATTTAGGTGTTAGTTTTTACTTGTTTGTATGAATTCATCTGGTGAATAACATTCAATGTGTTTGCTATTTCTTGAAAATATTTGTATTTGTCCTTTAGTCTTTAAATTTTTAGATTTCATATATTTATATTTCTAGGTTACCCTCTTACTGCGTTTGTAACTACGTAAAAAGATTACCTTCATAGGTATTGAGATAGTGGTTTTTTACTACAAATTCTTCTGAGTTGTTGTCTGGGAAACGACCGATGCGAGATAGAGGTCCATAGACCTGTGATGCATAATCAGTATAATCCTTGATGATATTTCTTCTCTCCAACTTCCCTTCTATATCTTTTCCTTTTGCCACAAGTTTTCTGATTGCTAAAGTAAAATATAACACCATGATTATCTCCAAACTATTGTTCCGAAAACTCCAAATGCAGGATAGTAAACCAGTCCACTTTCATTCACAGGGAAGCTACCAAACCGTCTAGCTTTTGTGGTGATCACTTAGCACAGTCAGAATATTAACACTGAAACAGAAGCCTGTTATCTGTGTGGCCTGGATTGTCACGAGATAGGCAGAAGGAAGTGACGGAAGCTGAACCCCTAAGAGTCTTCAACTGTTACTCATCAAAAATCTCTCATAACTGCATTCTAAGTTTTGGGTCAAGAAGAGGCATTCATTAAAAATTTGTGAAATGAAAAAAAAAATTCGTTAAATGAATGAGAGAAACTCAAAAGAACTGAGAAATACATGCTCAATGGCGATAGTACAATTATTCTCTCCTAGAACAGTTAAAAGGGAGGAAAGACTATAGGTTCTTGAATAATCTCTTTTCCTTTGGTTATAACCAGAACCTATCCCAGCATATAGCGTTCAGGGTTGTTTGGCAACAGAGGGAAAAGGTTAAGCAGGGCATATACCAATGCACTCACACCAGAGTACACTCCTGATACCCCATATGCGCTTACTACACCCTCCTGCTCTTTCATTTCAATCCTAGCCACATCCATCCCCACTTGAGGGTTCTGCACTGGGACTCTCAATGAGTGTAGCATCGTATTGCAAGATTTGAAGTCACATTGCAAGAGCCACTTCCAAGGCAACATCCATTGCTGCCTTGTGGATGTTGTTTATGTTTAATCCTCACTGCTTCTGTGTACGATGTGGGGTTTTAAGTTGAAATAAAAAATGTTTTACATTTTATCATTTATCTCTAAAAATTAATATTGACAATACACAGATATTCAGCCAGCAGCTAGTTAGGAGTGATTTAATCACATCAAGAAAAAGTTAAAAGCTTACTAAAAATAGCTTTTAAGGTATTAACTTAATTTTATGCAATTGCCTTACTTTTACTAGAAAAATAGTGATTTGAATTTTTTAAGATGTGCTTTAAAATTCACAGTTTAAATTACTTAATATGCTTACATTACTATCCTTAAATATGTATATAAATTGATGATTTATATGTAATTACTATATCACCATTTTCAAAGTAAATAAGATTACAAGCTAATCAGTAAATACAGCTATCAAGTTAACTGTTAATAAATGAAAATTTTAAATGTAAATGTTAAATATTTAGTCATTTTTTAATTTTCCATTGACTTCTCTTTTTACATATAAATTACAAATATTTATAAACATAAACAAATATACTGCATATCTTTAATATTAAAATTTCATGGAAGTGGGTCAAGTAAGAAAAGAGATGTCTCTTTTAGGAGTCAAGAATAAAAAACAGCAGGAAAATGAATACAGAAAGACCAAAACCTACACCCTTACACACACACACCATAATCTCAATAACTTTACTACATGTTAGAACACCATCACTTGATTTCCTTACCATTTTTTTTCTATTCTTCTACCATTGAAAAATAACCTATTTCCCATCCCTTATCTATTTGATAACACTAGGATCAAAAAAGAATTATATCATAGTTAATTAGGTTTGATCAAAGATCCAAAGCCACCAACTTTTCCCCACACTCATGGCTTTTTTTTTTTAAACACCAGTACCTAATACATGTTTGCGTTGAATTTTAGCCACTTTTGCCTCCTTTGCTTCCTGTAGTTTAGACCATTGGGCATTCAAGCGTTTCATGTTCACTTCATTTTGATTTTCATCACACTTCTTCAGCAGCTCTTTTAAAACTTCCAGGCGAATCTCCTGTAGTCTTCAAGTACATGGTAAAACACACATATACACATATACATATATAGGTTTATATATATATGAATATATATTTCTTATGTATATATATTTCTTTATATATGTATATATTTCAAAAAGACTGTTCTATTAGAGAAACAAGGAACACCTGCCATAAACAGGGTCTTCTTTTTGGGCTGATATGTTATTTGTGTATTTTAAAAAGACTACTCTGAGCAACAAGAGAACAAATAAACAAATGGAGTTACATAAAAATAAAAAAGCTTCTGCAGAGTGAAAAAAAAGCATCAACAGAATGAAAAGACAACCTACTGGATGGGAGAAGATATTGGTAACTCATTTGTGACAAGGGGTTAATATCCAAAGTATATAAAGAACTCATACAACTCAGTAGCAAATAGCCCAATTTAAAAATGGGCAGAGGATCTGAATAAACTTCTTTCCAACAAAGACATACAGATGAACAATAGTCACATGAGATATTCAAAATCACTAATCACGAAGGAAATGCAAATCAAAACCATAATGAGATAGCTCCTTACACCTATTAGAACAGTTATTATGAAAAAGAAAAGAAATAGCAAGGGCTGGTGAGGATGTGGAGCATCGGCTGGCAAGAATGTGGGAATCATGATGCACTACTGATGGGAATGTAAACGGGTGCAGTCACTACAGAAAACAATATGAAGTTTCCTCAAAAAATTAAAAGCAGGGCTTCCCTGGTTGGTGCAAGGGTTTTAGTATCAGCACTATGAAGCTATCAGCAGCCACTGCAGCACTAATTCAATCCATGGCCAGGGAGCTGACCCACATGGTATAGCAGACCTCCGCTGTCTCACCCTCTACTCCCTTCAGTAGTGAATTTCAGTAGCTCTGTCTGTTTTGCTCCCCACTCTGTCTCTGGTGAATCTTCTCACCTCCCCCACACCTCTGGCCCACACCCCAGTTCTTGTATACATAAGTAAACAAATCTTTTTTAAAAATTAAAAGCAAAACTATCAGATGAGCCAGCTATTCTACATCTAGGTATTTATCCAAACAAAACGTAAGTATTTGCACCCTCATATTCAATGCAGCATTATCTATAATAGCTAAGACATGGAAGCAACCTAAGCTTCCATTAGTGAATGAATAAAGGAAATGTAGTGTGTATGTGCATGTGCCCACATATATGATGCACACAAAATAGAATACTATTTAGTCATAAAAAAAATAAAATGTTCCATCTGTGAAGCATGGATGAAACTCAAGGGAATTTTGCTGGGTGGAATAAGGCAGAGAACAACAAATACTATATGCATATAGTGTATTTATTTGTATGGAATGTAAAAAGGACAAGAACAAAAAAATCAGGCTCATAGATAGAGACCAGATTGGCAGTTGCCAGAATTGGTGGTTGCCAAAGAGGGTCAAATGGTATAAAGTGAGTAAGACATGAGGATATGATATATAGCTGTGTCTATACTTAATAATACTGTGTTGTGTATTTGCAAATTCCTGAGAGTAGATCTTAGAAGTTCTTCTCATAAGAAAAAACAAGTTCTGTAGCTATGTGTGGCAATGGACAATAATTAGACAGACTGTGGTAAACATTTTGCAATATATATGCAAATATCAAATCATTATGTTTTATACCTAACAGTTATATGATTTGAAAAAATATGCCACTCTATAAAAAAGGTGACTGATGAATTGGAATGTGAGAGAGGCACCACAACTGTAAGTCTCTGCATAACAGGACTGTGTACGGGTGTAGCTCTAAAGGATGAAGAAGAGTATGCTACACAGGTGGGGTGGGTGGGCCTCAATAAACAAGATGTTTGTGCACAGGTGCAGGCCCAATGGTATTGCTGAAGGATGAAATAACAGGAAGAGTAAAGAGAAGGTGCAGGTGTGGCACCCGGTCTCTGCAGGGACTGTGAAAATGCCAGTGTCTGCACACTAGGTAGTCAGTCTGTTTTCTTTCCCCTTATTTTCAGCTTGTTGTTCCAGGGTTACTTCATTAATAGGTATACCATTGCGTCCATCTGTGCCTCCTGCCTACATAGTTCTAAACCAGAGTTTATCTACTTATATCTCCAGCTATCCCAACCTCAAAATAACCCACTCATTTTGTTCCTCCAGAAATCTTACATCTTTCCTGCCACGTCCCCTCCCGCAGCGCCTAAGTGAGAAATCCTTAGAGCTTGGCACAGTCAAGGTACCGGGCACACGGGAGGAACATGTGGCCCTCCAGGAGTAAAAGAATGGCTGATTCTCCAATGGTCACTGTAACTTTTTGATTTGTTTTCTGATTCTGTTGATGCACAACAAAAGAAATGCTATGGATACTGTGCTTCATTTCTAATGATACTCTTGATAGGAATGTAACTTCCTCTATTCTCGATACTGATTTACTTCTGAGAAACTCCCTTACAATCTTTAATTCTATTATACAATTACCTCCTGTACATCAGGTGGCTTGTGAAGTGAATGGAGAGAATAATTAAAAGGATTAGAAAGGCCAGAGGTGATAGATAGGGCATTTGTTTAGCAGCACTGAACCGTGAATACACAGTGGTTTCCTAGGGTCCCAAGATGGTTTCCGGCCCCTGGCAACATCTCAGAAACAAAAAGAAATTAATGTACTACCTGTCACACTTCTATTAAAAGAATCATTGACACCAAAAAAAAAAAAAAAAAAAAAAAAAAAAAAAAAAAAAAAAGAATCATTGTATCCTTATATTTGCTTGCCAAGAAAAATTGTAAAAATGCTCTGCACTCTTAAAAATAAATTACATTCAGGTCCTCCCTGGTGGCACAGCGGGTTAAAACACTGCACTAAGAAGCTAAAGCCGCTTCCGCATGAGTTCAGTTCCCGCCTGCCCCGGAGGAGATCCACATGGCAAAGCAGACCTCTCCTGACCTGCCTACCGCTCCCCTCAGCAGTGTACTTCGTTGATCTGCCTGTTCTGCTCCCCACTCTGTCTCTGGTGAATCCTCTCACCCTCCGCATCTCTGGCCTGTACCACAGTTCTATATGAATAAATAAATAAATCTTTAAAAAAAATTACATTCAGATATGCACTCCTAGAAGTCGTGTCTGTCTGTCACTCAACCTCATCCTTGTCCACCCTGCGCCAGAATTGCAATCCCTGAAACTTGTCTCCTGCTCCTGCTGCGCTGGTCCACAGCACTTTCCCTCTCTTTCAACTTCTCTGAAACACTTCCTGCATCCACTCCCTGGCTCATGTTTTTGTCATACCTTCCTAATTTGGACTCTGTTAATCTAGTCGCTCCTTCTTCCTATCATGCTCTATATAACTGTCAAGATTTTCCTTCCTAAAATAGATTTGAATATTTTACTCCTACTTAAAAATGTCATACATTAATTTATTCAGTCAAAAAAATATATTCAGTCACTTATTTGTCAAATACTTATTAGGAGCCTGCCATATGTCAAGCCAGGGAACAGACACCGATGAACCACTGTTTACAACATAGGGAGATAAATAGCAGACTAGAAGAATGAAAAGACTTCTGTGAGAAAAGAAATAAGAACTCAATTATCCCCAGGGGACCAGGGGGATGACAAGGGATAAGGTGTCCTTAGACAGTAGTTCTCAAGCTCAAGCATGCATCAGATAACCTCGAGGATTTGTAATGATATAGACTGCTAGGCCTCAACCTCCTGATCCAGCAGGTCTGGGAAGGGGCCTGAGAGCCTGCATTGCTAACAAGTTCCCAGCTAATGCTGATGTGCTGGTCTGTGGGCCACACTTTGGCTTGGAACACTGTCTGGAACATAATAAGCACTCTGCATGTGTTACATGCCTTATACATGTCATCATCATTGATGTCATTTACCTGACAATTTCTATCCATGTTTAAAGACCCAGATCAGAAGCTGCCCCTTCTATACTTTTCCCAAATTTCCAATTTCTCTTTACATATATATACATATATATAAACATACACACGTATAAAGACAATGAGAGTGTGAGAGAAAGAGAGAGCAGTGACCTACCTGAGAGCTATTAGTCTGCAAGGCTTGTCTCAGCACCTCCCCCACTGCTGCCCCAATGGACTAGCAAGAACTCTGTCTGGGCACAGAACTTTCCTACTCATTCACTTCCCTCTCTGACAGCAAAGAATTCCAGCACAAAGGAGGTACTCAAGATGTATTTACTAAAATTAGTCAGTTTAAAAAAAATTAGACAATTTCTTAGGTGATGTCTTCATTCTGACCAGATGCATTTTAAATATTTTTCATATCTTTCTCACAAAAATATACCTCTCCAAACTGCAGGAACAAATTTAAATTTCAACAGACAGGATTGGGTTCCTGACATCTTTTTGCCCAAACCACTATTTTCTGCCAAACTGCAAACTTTCACCAACACGGTCACAATGTCTGGGTTTATTCCCAATCTGAAGATGTTGAAAAAGATAAACATATCTTGAATTCAAAACCAAGCTCAGTCCCTAACTCTCTTGACCCTTCACCATACTACCAGGGGCCCCCGTAGCACTGCCATAAGCACAGCCTGGAACAAAGGAAACCTCCATAAACTCCCTTCCTTTCTTTCTTGCTAGGGACTTGTGACTTGTTGGATGTCATCACTTCTACGTATTACAGGGACAAACTCATTACTAAAATCTATCAGTTAAAGTGATTGAAAACAACCAGAAGAACTGAAGCATAGTGTTATTTAGGTGCTGTGAGTTCTCCATTGACTAAAGAGTTCTACAATGGGCAATGTCCCATTAGCTGTAGCTAGAACTTACAAGTTTCCTGACTGTAAATCCAGTATCAGGAAGATTAGAGGTAGGGATAGTGAGGAGACTGCTAGAAGGATATTAAGAAGGCTGAGGCCCAAGTCTAGTGGCAAGAAGGGGACATTTTGCAGAAATTAATAGAATACTGACAGTCTAGATTAGATACTACTAAAAAGACAAAGCATCAGAGATGTCTTGAGGAATTGTTCAAATCTGGTTTCATGTTGACCTTCACATGCAAAGAGGGCATTATACATTTCCTGAAGGAAACAGAAATCCAATTTCTTATCCTTACAAGTTGAGGATTACTTTTTTTTTAAATATTTATTTATTTATTTATTTATGCATACAGAACTAGGGTACAGGCCAAAGGTGCAGAGGAGAGGATTCACCAGAGACAGTGGGGAGAACAAGCTGACTGACTAAGTACACTGCTGAGGTGAACAGCGGGCGGGTCAGGAGAGGTCTGCTGTGCCATGTGGATCACCTCCAGGGTGGGGACTGAATTCATGCTTAAGTGGCTTTAGCTTCTTAGTGCTGTGCTTTAACCCGCTGTGCCACCAGGGAGGGCCTGAGGATTACTTAAACGTATACATTTGAGAAAACACTTTACAAATAAAATAAATTGTCTAAGTGACTAAAAGCCTACTTTTCAATTTCCTGTTCTCTGAAGGCCCACTCCTTCCTCTCCATTGCATCCATCATCTTCCTTCTCTTCTCAAACTGGGAGGTGTCAGTCAGAGGCGGAAGAGTGGCTTCCCAGGCACGCTTCTCCCGGGCCCGTTCTATCATCTCTATTTCAGCTTGTCCTGCAGGGAGACCTCGACCTGTAACAAGGACCATGCAAAAAACACTTTAGAAATATACGGACAAACTCATACACCTATCATTACTCCCTTACTTACTCCCTTTCAGTTCCTGTCCTCTTTAAATTCAAGCATTATGATAGCATGAAATGATTAGGAAACATCTTTCAGATGTGCCTCACAACCTGTTAACTGTGCCCTGTGCTGCTTCTTGGTAATAATTCATCCAGAGGACATTTTAGTTGTGTATAAGATGAAAATGAGTTTGTGATGAACATTATGAGATTACTTAAAAGTCACAGCTTGGAATACTCTGTATTTGATAAACATATATTGTGAAATTTAAAAAAAAAATCAAAGTAACTTGCAGAAGGCCACAGTTGATAAGTGGTGAAAAACAGAATTTGAACAAGGTGATCTGACCCTTGTGGTTTTATGTAGTACACTATATTCCCATGCTAATAAAAACAGTTGAGAAACAAAAAATGAATGATACTGATAAGTTAATAGCATACTGAGTAGTAAAAGATTGAAAGGTTGATCTCTAAGATCAGAAGCAAGACAAGAATGCTTACTCTTATCACTCCTTTTCAACATACCATGCTCTGGAAATCCTGGCCAGAGCATTACACAAGAAAAAAATAAATAAATAAAAGGCATCCAAGTTGGAAAGGAAGAAGTGAAATTGTCACTATTTTCAAATTACATGAACTTTTATATAGAGAAGCCTAAAGACTCTACCAAAAAAAAAAAATAGATCTAGTAAAGGAATTCAATAAAACCAAAAGACACAAAGTCAACAGTAAAAATCAATGGTGTTTTATATACTAATAACTATTTAAAATTTTTATGGCTATTGCCAAATGTTTTTTTCTCAAGCCCTCGGATTCTCTAATCTTTCCTCACAGACATGCTTCCTCACTTGTCCCCAAATTGCTTCTACTTAATCTCAACTGTTCTTACAAATAAAAATTTAGAAGTTTGCAGATGACAATACACATAATATGTGCACACACACACACACAAATCTCTCAGATTCACTGAAAATGAAATTTCTGGATATTTTGTTATTCTTAAATACATTTGTATATTTTCTGGGAAGAAATGTGCTAATTTGCATAAGTATGGTTATGCTTGGAACAGGGACTTGGATTATAAATACTAAGAGGTATAAAATATTTGCTATCTGATCATTGCCTCACTCCAGTCACAAAAATCAACTCGAAGTGGATTAAAGACCTAGACATAAGAACGGAAACCATAAAATACCTAGAAGCAAAGATGGGTC